ATGTGAGAACCATGGCTGCAGGTGGGCATGACAGAAGATACTCGGGGACACCCCTACTCAGGAACAAAACCAGCCAGTACACACGAGAGCAGAGGCAGGGGATGGGCCAGGCTAGGCTAGGCCACAGCACCCAGCACACATGAAATCTGGGGCTGAGGGCAGGTTGGATCAGGTTAAGCCATAGCACCTGCTAGTACATGCAAAAATCCTAACTGGGGCAGGGCTGGGCTGCACTAGGATGCAGTACTCCCCAGCATGTGCGAGAACCAGAGCTTGGAGTGGATATAGTAAGGGTTTGTAGGATCACACCAACTAGGCCCCTGCATTCATTGGTGCATGCAAGGACTGGGCTGGGGGCAGAGCGGGCAGGGCTAGGCCTCAGCATTCACTGGTGCATGCAAGGACTGGGCTGGGAGCAGAGCGGGCAGGGCTAGGCCCCAGCATTCACTGGTGCATGTAAGGATTGGGCTGGGGGCAGAGTGGGCAGGGCTAGGCCTCAGCATTCACTGTTGCGTGCAAGGACTGGGCTGGGGCAGGCCAGGTAAGGGTTTGTAGGGACTGCTCCAACTAATCCACAGCATCTGCCAGTTCACGCCACAGCTACAACTGGGGTGGATTGGCCGGACTGGGCTTGGCTGCAGAACCCACAAGTTCAAACTGCTTATTTTTTAAACAAATGATAGAAAGAAAGACAGTTTGAACAATATTCAGGCTAGGCTCTACAACAGGCACCTAGGTCTGTAGGCACAATAAAGTAAAAAGACAAAGAAGAAACACAGATGGTCAAGGAAGAAGTGACACATAAAGGAAGATTAAAAAGATGACTGGGAAGAGAAAGAGCAAAGAGCCACATTTCCGAATAGGGAGACAAACTGACAGACGTGGGCAACCCGCAGACGAGCACCAAACGAGAAAATAGGAACGCCCAGCATCAAGGAAAGGAGATCCCTAGGGATGCGGAAGTGAAGAGGAAAGGAACAAACACTTGGACAAACGGGAAGATACAGGAGAGCCACAGACACAAAAGAGAGACACAATTAGGAAAACAGACAGATAAGCAGAAACTGTCAGGGAAAAGACAGGCCAGGACAGACACAGACCTTGGGACAGACAGGCAGGCAGCAGGCACAAAGGAAGGAAGCAAGAAGAAAAGGAGGGAGAAGATGCTGGGAGGAGGGCAGCGGAAAGAAACCCCTGGGAATCGGGATTGCATTCATCAATTCATTACTGAAAGGCATGCTCCCTACAGCCCACTAGTGCATAAAAAAGAACAAGAAATAATCACAACTATTATTAATGATATTGAACTATGGATCTCAAGGGATTATACGGCTACAGGGAACACTGTATATTATTAGCAAATACAAGGAACATTCTCTCTCTTCCTTTAGATATTAATATTCTCATATGGAGACATTCACACAGCTTTGTGAAGGGTTTCTGCTCCAAGCATCCAACGTGATATACTAACGATTTGCTTTTCCTATAAACCTTATAAGCAAAAAAAAAAAAAAAAAATTACATATGAACCAATTAATTACATATGAAGCCTATTGAAAAATCAATTATTGCACCACTAAGCATGATTGAATCATCACATAAACATTTACCCAGAGTTTTCAGAAGCAGAAAATCTGCTCTCAAATACAGCAAATCTCTTTCTGTGTATTTCCTGGATACCTAGATACATGCTAGGATTTCTATATATTTTATAAGCGCAGAATATTTAAATTGGTTCCAGGAAAATAAAGAACTACCATTAAATATTCAGAATTTTTCCATAATCCCCAGTTGGGAAACACATTAGTTAAACCGATTCAGTGATTCTCAACCTCTGCTGTGTATAATGATGACCTGAAGACAAGCTGATCTCTGAAACTGAGATTCAGTCTGCAGTGTACACAGTCCAGATATCACCGGGTTGCATTTTGGTTTTTGAATGCTACCTGAGTGAGTCTAAGTGCAACCACATGTAAGAATCACTGATCTCATCTATTTGATTTCAAAGGTAGATATCCTCTCCTATGTACTTGTGTAAGAGATTTAAAACATACAATGTCAAACTTGATTGTACCTTCATCAATCTAATGTTTAGGAAACAAGGAGAAATTTTTAATAAGATTTACCACTTCATATTCACTGATACAATTCCTATCAGACAGTTGTATAAAATAATTACACTTCTTGGTCACTATCACAATTATGAAATATCCTCCAAATATTCTACACTAAATTTTCCTTAGACTAAAATCTTCACATGAATGATTGAAACCACTCAAATACACTGATGGCTCACTTCAAAAAAAAAATAAAAGACTTATTTATTTACTTATTTAGCAGAAAGGCAGATTTAACAGAGGGATGGGGAAAGAAAAAGAAAGAGAATCTTTCATCAGCTGCTTTACTTCCCAAAAGGTTACAAAGGCACTGGCTGGACCAGGCCAAACCCAGGAGCCAGGATCTCAACTCAGACCTCCCAGATGAGCGGCAGGGACCCAACCACACAGTGCTGCTTCTGCTTCCGACGCGCATAGCAGGGAGCAGGATCAGCAGTAGAGCAGACAAGACCTCATTCTAGAAAAGGGCACTGGTGGGCTTTTCTGTGTTTTTATTTTTGCTTTTGTTCAGGGCACTGATTTCTAATAGTAATAGTATCAATTTTTGGTTCTATAAAACTTACTATGCATATTGACAATTAAGATTTTCCTGCGGATGTATAGTAGCTGTGTAATGGAGACTGTCATATCTAGTAACATGTCATTTAACTTCATGGCATTGTAAATTTCTATTTTTCTTTCTACTGTTGATTTTGTATCATGACTTTTCATTTAAGGGGATGTACAGTAGCTGTGAAATGGAGACTAATATCCAGATGTGAGGATGCAGTATAGTATGCATTTCTGTTTCCAGATAAAGATGGACTTACAAAGAAACTGTTTACTATATCTTGACAATAGGATTCTGGACTCTCTGCCATTGTCCATCCCCGCAACGATGGACATACGACTGAGTATGAAGAACTATATGTTAGTAATGATATAGAGGAACTTGGGGGGGGGGGTGTTGGGGAAGGGATAAGGGAATACGGAACTGTATCATAAAATGGTAATAATAATAATAAAATGTAAAAAAAAAAAAAAGACTGCTTATGTCTGAGTGCATTTGCTCAGAGATTATAGTAAAAAAAAAAAAACAGATTTCCCTGCAACCTTGCCTTCACACAAATCTTAGAAGCTATCTTACCATTGGTTCATACCAAACAGATTAATTCCCAGGTATTTTTCATATAGTCTGCAACCACACTACACCAGGCTTTTACCCTACAATTTTTTTTTTGGAACTTCAGATCCACTCAATCCATTAAATTTAACTGCTGTGCTGGTAAATGTTCTCCAGGCTGGTGGACTCATCTGTCATGTTTGCTGATTTCTGTAGCATAAATACTCACATTATGGCCAATCTCAAGCTATCAAAACTTAAACAGATGCACACAATTATCACAAGTACGCATGACTCAACCCCAAAACATCACCTAATTTTACTCATCATCCTTACCTACAACTTTTTCATCACAGTCTCTAAAAACATGTTTGAAAAGTAACATTTTCCTGGGGTCGGCACAACAGCTCAACTGGCTAAACCCTCCACCTTGCAGTGCCAGCATCCCATCTGGGCACCAGTTCATGTCCCAGCGACTCCACTTCCCGTCCAGCTCCTTGCCTGTGGCCTGGGAGGGCTGTAGAAGAAGGCCCAAAGCCTTGGGACCTGCACCCACATGGGAGACCCACCCAGAAGAAGCTCCTGGCTCATTCGGGGAGTGAACCAAGGTACAGAAGATCTTTCTGTCTTGCACTCTCTCTGTGAATCTGTCTTTCCAATAAATAAATAAATAAATAAATCTTTTTTTAAAAGTAACATTTTCCATCTCACCTACCCCTAATATTCTGGTGCAAGTACAAAGTGGAATACAATTAGATTTCCAATAACCCCTGGGTTGTTCTGAGGTGTAAGTTCAGATAAAAACTTACCTAGCTACAAAAATATTCACTATTTTTCAGTTTTCCCCTAATCATATTATTCACCTCACACATTTTCATCATCCACGAATACAGCATGGCAGGTTTGCAAAATCATCTTGAAATTGTATACCTGCAACATCCTTCTAGACAAGTAGGAGCAATAAATTATTGAATGCTCAAAAATAACTCGCTTAAGGAGAATACACTTCTAGGCAAGACGGGTTAGCTGGAAGACAGCTACTACCCACACAGCAACACATTAGAAAACTTGGTGATGCATCTGGTTCCCTGACTGCACTGTAGCAAACAGCAGGAAGCCAAGGAGGGAAAGGATCTGACCAGGATGAGCTGACCTACCGCAGCTACTTAGCTTTGCACATTTCCCAGTTTGGTAGCCAAGCATGAAGTCTGGAACTTGAACTTTGCACATGAAGGCTAAGGCTGGCAGCCAAACAAAAAGCCACACAGTTTTCAGTAGACAAAAACTTAACTTTTAAAAGCTCTGAAATGAGAGAAAAATTAAACCAAAAAGCACAGAAGGGAAGAAATAAAGAACAAGAACAGAAGCAAACAAAATACAAACAAGTAAACAAATACATCAAGGACACCAGAACGTACTACTCTGATTAAAAAGAAATAATAACTTTAACATACTGATCAGAAAAGAAAATAATATACAAATCACCAATATCAAAATCAAAGAGGAAATACAACTACAGACCCTGGAAACATTAAAGAGACAGTAAAGAAGCTTATAAAAAATTTTGTAAATAAATACAACATCTTCTACTAAATTTGCTAAAAAAAAAAAAAACTGAACTTATAATTAGGAAAAATAGGAAAAATAACTCTCTCATAAAGAAAATTACAGGTCCAGATTGTTTCACTGGCAGATTTTACCTAACATTTAAAGGAAAAAGAAAAAAACGCTTCTATACATACTCTTCTACAAAAATCACACTGGGGAGATGACCAAGTAGGATTTATCCCAATATAAGTCTGAGTGTAACAATCAAAAGTCATTCAAAGTAGCTTGCCATAATAGCCACATCCCATGTCTGAGTAAGTAAGCGGAATGCAGCTGATGAAACACAACATTCACTGCCAATAAATTCTCTGAATAAGAACAGGAAGTAAATTCTCAATAAAGAACATAAACACCCACAGTTGCTCCCCAAAGCCTCCACACTAACTTCTTATTTTACAAAAGCATTACTTCTCCAGAAGGTTGAGAAGGTTCGGGACAGGTGGGAAAGTCACAGTGATGGTTGTAGCAATAGCCGTAACAACAAACTGGGACTGCACGGCTTTACTTTGCAAACTGCATCATTATCTCTCCACTAAGGAGTTATTATCGTTAAACACCCGTATAAATTTTTATATTGTCCTTTATTCTACAACACCCCTTTTAAAAAACATTTTGACCTCCTGGGGCTGAAGTTAAGCCTGATCCCTTGCTGATCCCCTAAGAAGTTTGGAAATTTAAAGGTAATTATTAGCCTTTAGTGAAAAAGAAAGGTCATCTAACTCCAGCAGGTGCTCTACTGATAAACAAAATTAGTGAAAAAGTAAATCAATTACATTTACTAAGTCCTCAAGGCAAATCAAAAGAAATGTAATGAATTAAGCTGTACTGTGGTCATGTTCTAAGCTTACAACCATTTGGAGAAACAGTAAAAAATCTAAATGCAGAAGGAAATAAAAGTAAACTTTGAACAACAAATAAAAAGCCATTAAAAACTCAACCCCATCGGGCCCAGCGCAGTGGCGCAAGTGGTTAAAGGTCCTCGCCTTGCACGTCCGGGATCCCATATGGGCGCCGGTTCTAATCCTGGCATCCCCGCTTCCCTTCCAGCTCCCTGCCTGTGGCCTGGGAAAGCAGTCGAGGACAGCCCAAAGCTTTGGGACCCTGCACCCGCGTGGGAGACCCGGAAGAGGCTCCTGGCTTCGGATCAGCATAGTATCGGCCCGTTGCGCTCACTTGGGGAGTGAATCATCAGACGGAAGATCTTCCTCTCTGTCTCTCCTCTCTGTATATCTGCCTTTCCAATAAAAAAATAATAATAAAAATAAATCTTTAAAAAAAAAAAAAAAAAAAACCTCAACCCCATCCATTATCTACATGCTGCAAAAGGCCAGATTCTCATTTGATACTTAACACTGACTCATCCTGTATCTCTTTTTTTTTCTATTACTAATTACATTGCATTATGTGACACAGTTTTATAAACTCATCCGTATCTCTTAGGCAGTCTTGTTTATGCCAGTGATGTCACTGGAGGCCTCCTGTTACCCTCACAGCATCAGTCTATACTTTTCTTCCACACAACAGCATAGAAAAACATTGTCCCTTTGCTTTTCATTTTGTTTATAAACCATGACTCTCATATCTACTCAAATCAATCATTTGCTCATAATGTCTGTCTACGCACATTTGGCCATCACATCTTCCAACATGCTGAAGGATATATGTATAAGTGACTCTCAGAGCTATCTGTAGGTTCACTTAATTTAAAAGTTCGATTTGCAATTCCCTCTGCATTGCCTGTCACTTTATTCAGGATTAGCACCGAGTACACAACTAAGATGTAACCAAATCTGCTAAAATAGTACCGTGAAGTTTTATTCAAATGTCTTATGCTAATGTCCCATCCACTATGTGGCAGAAGCTACATAAGAAACGGAACACAGCAAGTTAAAACATGGCTTTCAACACCAGCGTCTCCTATCACAATGCTGACGCTTAGGCCCGGGCTGCTCTGTTTCTGATCCAGCTTTTTGCTGAAGTACCTGGGAAAGCAGAAAATCTGGCATGAGTACCTGGACCCTAGCCATACAGGTGCTAAGCCCAAACAGATTACTGCCCTCCTGACAGCAGCTTAGTCCAGCCCCACAGTCATCTGAGCAGCGAACCAGGGCACAGATCTTTTTCTCAATCCAGCTTTTCCTCTCTCTCTGTAACTCGGCCTTTCACATAAATAAATCTTTAAAAAGAAAATAAAGCACCAATAGAAAATCAAACATATCAAGCTCTACGTTTAAAGAATTCTTCAGCTAAAGTGACAAGCAAAACAAAAATAATAAAATCAGTACTGGAAGAAACAGTTTCAGACAAAGACAAGGAAAGCATAGATCATTTAGCTGTTTCCTAAAAGAGTTTGTCAGATGCTTAAGAAAAAGTCCATCCCAAAACACAGAACAAACACATAGAAAATCAAAAAGTAACTAGATTCTCCAAAGAACACATTTAAAGTGCTGACAGTGATCATAAAGATTTATTTGAACCTCAAATAATCTGATCAAAAAAGACCTTTGATTTTCATCAGTGTTTCACAGTTACGGAACTGGGACTTTATCTTGAAGAAATATAGAGTTATATTTGCCCATAGAGTTAAAAATAAACAAGTGACATTCAAAATGCACAGAAAAACCTTGCGCTAATTCATATGGAAAATACTGTTAGCTCCATTAGTACATCTATCTTAGTAAAGCAACATGTAATTCATTTCTTCCTTCTCATTGTAAAGGGAAGTAGCAAAAATGGTCTCTAAAGACAACCATGAATAGGTCTGCATGGCACTAAGACCTGGTACCCACTACAGCCTTCTGTCCTTAAATCAACCTTGCCCCCAAATTACATTTCTGCTTCCCCAAGCTCCTAACCACAACTCCCACACAGCCCTTACCTTAGAAGATGGAAAGAAAAGTAACCTTAGAATCACACCTCACATAGTTAGCAGACAAAGAAAATAGGACCCAGAACAATAGTCCAATCGGCTAATCCTCCCCCTTCAAGCACCAGGATCCCATATGGGCACCAGTATATCTCCACTGTTCCACGTCCCATCCAGCTCCCTGCCTGAAGCACTGGAGGACCCAATGCCACATGGGAGAACCAAAAGAAGCTCCTGGTAGGCCAGTGTGGTATGCTAGTTCCTAAAGTCTCCTCCTTAAACGCAGGGATCCCATACAGGAGTGGTTTGTGTCCCAATTGCCCCACAACCCATCCAGCTCCCTGCTTGTGGCCTGGGAAAACAGCAAAGGATGGCCTAAAGCCTTGGAACCCTGCAACTATGATGGAAATTGAAGGAAGTTCCTGGCTCCTGGCTTCAGATTAACTCAGCGCAGGCCTCTAGTGAACCAACAGACAGAAGATCTGTCTCTTCCTTCTCTTTGTAAATCTGACTTTCCAGTAAAACATTTTTTTAATCTGAAAAAAAAAAAAAAAAGAAGCTCCTAGTTCCTGGCACTGGCTCAGCTCCAGCCACCGCAGCCACTTGGGGAGTGAGCCAGCAGGTGGATCTTTCTCTCTGTCTCTCTATCTCTCCGTAAATCTACCTTGCCAATGAGGAGAAATATTTTTTTTACATTTATAAACATTTTATTTAGTTGTATGATTTAGTTCCATAGGCTCTGGGGCTGCTCCGTCCATCAGCAAGTGTATGAATTGGTTTTGGAAGGGGGCAAAATAGCAGGGCTGAGGAAATCATAGCACACTGGCAAGTACAAACACCAGACTGGAGCACAGGTCATGCCAGGCTAGGCTGCCACACCTACTGGTTTGCATGAGCCAGGAATGAGAGCAGACTGAGCAGGGCCAGGCTGCAGTACCCGCAAGCAGAGTTGGGACTGGGGGCCGGCTGGGCCAGGTCAGGATGCAGTATCTAAGGCAAAGGCCTAGAGGGAAGGGGCTATGCCAACCTGGTCAGAGAAACCACTGGCACATACGGGATCTGTGGCTGGGATCAGGCCTTGTTGGGGAACTCAGGGGACACCCAACCTTGCTTGTGGCTCCCACTGGTGAGTGCAGGGGCAACAGTGGAGGGTACAGTTTGGTCTGGACATGGCTGCAGTCTCCCTCAGCATTGTTGTGTGGACTGGGTCTGGGGCATGCAAGACTGGGATAGACTACAGCACCCGCTGGAGCTCATGAGAAACAGCATGGGTGTAGGATGGACTGGGCTATGTCTATGTCCTTGTTGAGCCATGTGTGAGCTGTGCCTGGGTATGGACCAGGCTGGGCTAGGCTGTAGTACCCAACAATAAGAACCGGAATGGATGAGGGCCTGTCAGGAAACGTCACTGTTCTTGCTAGAAACCAAGGTGAACTAAGTAGGGTTGGCCCACGGACCCACCAATGTGCACAAGATCTGGTACTGGGAGAGGTTCTAATGGAGGAGCTTAGCAACTCCTCTGTCGGGACACAGTCCCTGCAGCTGAGCATAAGAACCACAATATCGGGCCTGGTGGCGTGGCCTAGCTGCTAAAGTCCTCACCTTAAACACGCCGGGATCCCATATGCGCGCCAGTTCTAATCCCAGCAGCTCCACTTCCCATCCAGCTCCCTGCCTGTGGCCCGGGAAAGCAGTCGAGGATGGCCCAACCTTGGGACCCTGCGCCCATGTGGGATACCCGGAAGAAGTTCCTGGATCCTGGCTTCAGATCGGCACAGCATCAGCTGTTGCACTCACTTGGGGCGTGAATCATCGGATTGAAGATCTTCCTCTCTGTCTTTTCTCCTCTCTGTATATGTGACTTTCCAATAAATAAATAAATCTTAAAAAAAAAAAAAAAGAAAGAAAGAAAGAGAAAGAACCATGATATCTAGGAAGCAGCCGAAACCAGGACTGCTTACATAACCCATGGGTTTACCTTTGGGTTTACCTTTGGCTCAGGTCTGGGGCAAGACAGGCTGCATCAGTTCATATCACCAATGACAAACCCAACAGCCAGAATGGTGTGTGGGTCAGGCCAGGTCAGGCCACAATACCAACCATGTCACACTAGGGCCAGGACTGAGGGCTGGCTCGGCTGAGCCAGGCTGTAGGCCCCACCACCATGAGCTGGAACTGCGGCAGAGCCAACCAGGAAGGGCTACAGCACCCACTGACAAATGTCGAGGTGAGGTGGGCAATACCGAACTAGGCTACAGCACCCAACCAGCACATACATCTGAGACCCCAGAGAAAGTAGGAAAACCCACAAAGGGGGCTGCAGTGAGAAGCCCTGCTGGGCCACTATGCCCACTGGTAAGCGTGAGAGCTGGGATTGGGGCCAGACCTGGCTGACCAGGGCTACAACACCCATAGGTCTTCATGTAAGCTCATCAGGGACAAGCCAGGCTAGGGGGACTGTACCTACTGGTACAGGCTTAAGCCAGAGCAGGTGTGGGCTGGTTTTGAATTTGGTTGGAATTTGTCCCAGCATCAGCCCTGGCACAGGGAGAAAACTCTCAAGTTAAACTGCAGTACCACGTGGAGAGGGCAAGATCCAGGAAAAGGAGCAGGCCGAGGAGGAAAACTGTAGGCACCTTCCTCTTGGGTTGCCACTCCGACTGGTGAGACTGAGAACCAGCACTGGGACAGGCATGGCTAGACAGAGAGTGGCACCCTCCAGCATGTGTGTGCAATGGATAGTGGGGCTGGTTGGGTTCAACTAGGCTTCAGTGCCCACTGACACCTATGACGGCTGAATGGGATGTGGGACAGACAGGATGAGTCTCCTGAACATACTGGCAAGCACAGGAACCAGGGCATGGGGCAATCCTGGTGGGGCTTACTGTGGGTCACCTCATCTAGGCTGCAACTCACACTAGTTTGCCTGGAGTCTGAGTGCTTGGTGGGCAACATCGGGCTAGACGGCAATAACCATTAGTTTGCATAGAAGATAGGGATAGAGACAAAACTTATCAGCAATTGCAACTAACAGTGTGCACAAAGGTAAATTTGGGAAAGAGAGGGTGCCAGACCTTGTACTGGCATGCACACACAAAAATTAGGTCTGGGATCACCTCAGATGAAGTTTCTCTGGGGATCCCTCCAACTAAACTGCTCCACTCAGAACCCCAACCATGGAGGGATTTGCAAGTTTCATGGTCTGACCGTGGAACGCATGTGTCAAAGCTGAGCCAGCGGAAGCAGATGCAAGAGTTTTCTTCCTCTTCCTTCTTTCTTTCTTTCTTCCTTCCTTCCTTCCTTTCTTTCTTTCTTCCTTCCTTCCTTCCTCTTTCTCTCTTTTTTCCCTCCCTCCCTCTCTGTCTCTCTAAAATTCTGCCTTCCAAAGATGAATAAATCCATCAGCAGATGGGAGTGTCTCCAGTGGCATTGTAAATGCTGCGCTGAGGCACACCCCTGTACTGTCAAACACACAGTGGGGCAAACTGCTGCTCTGACTTTATCTGTTAATTTTTATTTGAAAGACAGAACTACTAGAGAGAAAGAAAGGAAGAGAAATCTCTGCTGATTAAATCTGAGAAATGCAGGAAATCAGACATTTCTCCAGAACCAGTCACATAAGACATGGTACTGCCCAAGTCTGAAGCTGCTATCCAGAAGCACTCCTGGTTAGTAATTCTATCCACCTCATAATTCTGAAAACTCATATTTGTAATGCATATGCAATTACATTTCATTTTTATTATACTTAAAACAGTATCATAATGACCAAACGTAACGCCTTAAAGGGTTTGTTTTGCCTGTCTAAATTAATTTGACCTAATTGTCTTATTTAAATTTATTCAAATTTCTCATTACAAGTTCTAAAAGACCTAAATAAGAAACATTAATTAGAAATACCACTGCATCATGTTACTGCTTCAGCATCAACACTCTCACCACAGGACAGAATAGAAAATCATGGAAAAAAATACAACAGTAAACGGTAACTAAACATATCAATGAGAATTAGCAGAACAGTGGAAAAGTCTCCTTTCTAATATACAATAGCTAAAATCTAAAAACTTCACAAATGCCTACACTCTCCCTAGCTGTAGGCAACTGCCCAGGCTGCATTGTATCTAGGCAAGTACTATGCTGCTGGGAGAAAAGCAGCCAGCAGCTGGTGGGCATCCTGGGCCTGGTTAGTGCCAAATCTGTGTTGACTATACCAGTGTGCCAGCATAGCTACCTATTCTTTAAAAAAAAAAATACACACACACAAATACGGAAGGTGAGGAACTCCAGACCAGGACCTGCCATTCCAGCCCCAAGTGGGGGAGGGAGGCTGAAGATTGCCCAGGGATGGGGATCTGAGGACATGCTGGAGTGTGAGCAACTGAGAGCATATTTGACAGGGGAGAAATGACTTCCGGGATCTTCCACTGACCAGACCATTGCACTCACTGACAGACAAGGGAGCTAAGTGATACAGAGAGGGGAAACCAGGTGGTATGTCTGGGTCAGGTCAACACACCCACCCTAGGCTGGGCTAAATCACCTTGGCCCCCTGGTGGACACAAAGGTGGGGCTGGGGGCAATGTGTGGCTGGGCTAGGTTGCATGAGTGTTGGAACAGCGAGTGGGCCACATCAAGCTGGGCTGTAGCACCCACCAGAACATGAGAAAACTGGATCCAGAAGGAGACTCTCTAGCAATCATACGGGTTTGCCTCTTTGGGACCGCAGCTCCTACCAGTTTTTGCAAGAGCTGGGAGTGGTGATGGGCTGAGCCAGGTTAGATAGTAAAACTCAGACACTAGTGGGAGCTAGGGAAGGGAGGAGGCCAGACTAGACCAGGTTGCAGCACCTACTGGTAATGCAAAGGACAGAACTGAGGGCAAACATACCATCTAGGGGCATAGCACACACCAGCAGGCATGAGACGTGGAGCTTGGAGGAGGCCTGATAGGGGAACATGGAGAACTCCCCTTCAAAGCTGCAGCTCTAGACAGGACTTGGGGAACGCCAAGCCAGGCAAGGATATGGCACTCCTCAGCACTTGCATTGACCAGGTCCAGGGACAGACCAGGCTACGGTAGGCTAAGCAAGGCTGTAGCATCCACTGATGAGAGCCAGAACAGGTATGGCCAGTGAGTCAGAACTACTCACCTAG